AGAGGAAAAGGTCAAATACACATCATATTTTAGAGAGAGAGAGAGAGAGAGAGAGAGAGAGAGAGAGAGAGAGAGAGAGAGAGAGAGAGAGAGAGAGAGAGAGAGAGAGAGAGAGAGAGAGAGAGAGAGAGAGAAACTATCTAGAGACTGTCTAGACTCTGTCTAGCAGTTCACCTGACATTCTGACAAGTAATTAGTATTTAATTATTAATTATATATATATATATATATATATATATATATATATATATATATATATATATATATATATATATATATATATATTTGTTTCAATATGATTAACCTCTAGAGTCAAATATTGATACTTCAATGTAAATTTGTTTTGTGAGATGTTAAAGGAAAATGTGGGTTCATTTAACATTATTAATCAAATAGACCAAATATTATGGATATTACAAAAGCCATGCCACTTAATATGTTAACAGTTAATTAATTATTAAATAAATTCATGTTATAAAAGTGTTGTGTTGATTACTATTACCATTGGATTTCAATGATAATGGTAATCTGCTACACAACTTGGATTGTAATATTATGAGAGCCCTGTAACTTTTATAAGATGCGTATGAAATAATTAGCGCCACCTTTTCAAATATAAATCATTATGCGTTTAACATTCATTTAGAATGAAATCATAGATCATCATTATAAGGACGCGCGTACAGCGTCACACGGACACGCGCACGCTACGTTGACAGTCACAATGGAACTGATATGATATATTCTGCAAAAAACATTCATGCGAAAAAAACAGTTAATATTGGAGCAGCTTCCAGTTCAATCATACAGCCGTTCCTAGGTCATTTAAATGCCAACATCATTTAACTGTGCCGCCCGCCAGGTAATATGCTTTTTGGAGACGGACACTGTGGGACTTTGCCAGAAATCAACAACACTGGGCGCTCTGAAAGGTAGATTCATGAATGCTTCAGTACCTCTTTTTTCTTCTGACCTCCTCCAGACTGAAGACATAACAGCAGAATCAACAATAAGGATGCAAACGGCAGGTTGAATGGGAATCCCTTGTATACCACCGCCATGATGGAAGATGCTCTTATCGCATCAGTTCTGCTGAGCGCATTGATTGGCTACAATCGGATCCAACCAGAGGCCACCCAATTGCTTTGTGGGACTTGTAGTTTTTATTGCCTGGATTTTAAATGCATGCGGTAAGAGTGGAAATACCAAGTAAAATGCTCCAGATGTAACTTTATTCGTTATTCAGTTTTATTTAGTTAATTATAAAAATAAAAAATAGGCCTATATTGTTGTTTTGTCACTGACTTAGCGCAGAGAGGAAGATGAAAAAATGTATGTAAGCTTTAGCCTTGCTGTATCTCCAGTTCCTGCCAATGGGGGGCAAACCCAAAAAGGGTTTTCTAATGTATAATGATATTGAATATGGAGAATGCGTGACATGGCAAAAATGAAAATGTAATGTTCTAAAGGCTTAAACAAAGAGATATTTGTAATAATACAATGCTTAATATAAAATAATAAAGGATAATAAATTATCGTAATTGTCCTTTTATAATAATAATAATAATGATGATGATGATAATAATAATACTAATTATTTGAATTAAATCCAAAACATTTCACAAAAAAAAACATACAATCGTCACAATTGTAAAGAAAAGCCCATACATATATATATTTTTTTTCATTCCTGCACAGTGGTATGTCAATTTAGTTGTTTAGTTATTTATTTTGTTATTTGCTTATTTATTTATTTGATTGTTTGTTTGTAATTTCTCACCTGCATAGGCTACAATTACTGCAAGATTAAATGTTAAATGTCTCCTGTAAAGAAGTCATAACTCCTACAAAGTCATACATTGTATGTGTAAAAATTATTATTTTATGCCCCAAATCATTAGGATATTAAGTAATGATCATGGTCCATGAAGATATTTTGTAAATTTCCTTCCGCAAATATATAAAACATTTATTGTGTTATAGAGTGAATGCAGCACAATCACATAAACATAACTTGACAACTGTAAAGGTGCTTTTCTCAGTGTTTCGATTTCTTTGCTCCCTCAGATTCCAGATATTCAAATAGTTGTATCATGGCCAAATGGTCCTGTCCAAACAAACCTTACATCAATGGAAAGCTTATTTATTCAGCTTCCAGATGATGTATAAATCTCAATTGCAAAAAAAAAAAAAAAAATAGCCATGTGACTGGTTTCGTGTTTCTTTGTCATAATAGGCTACATCTTTGAGTTGTTTTATTCTAGTAGCAGCTGAGAGGGCATAAAGTATGATATACCATTACAAGGGGAAGTGCAGCTTTTCAAGTTTTATTGTTAGAAAAAATAATGTCCTTTTCACACAATTTGCCCAAAGGTTTAATATATAAGCTCCGATGCTTACTTGTATGATTGTGAATTAAAGATGAAATATGCATAAGAGATTAAATCGATGAATGTTCCATTGGGGTTTCTATAAAGATATATTTAGATTAGCCCCTCCTGATCTTGGATTTGTTTGTATTTTATCGCAAGAACAGGACGTTCTTAGATGGCATAAATAACCAACTGATTTAATCTTTTATGTTAGCTCACGTACAAGCTAAGTGCATTGCTGGTCCGTTCCATTTCCCTTTAAGAATCTGACTCACTCTGTAGCAAATGATGTATTTCATTTGGCCAGCATGGATCTCTATGCAGAACTGAATATAAGGTCAGACAGGGTAAACACCGATGTCATTCAATATGATGCATGTAGCAAATGTCAGACTTCAATACTCATGCTGGAATCAAACGATTAAGATGATCTTTTAGCCCTTTAACCTTGACGCCACTGTTGTCGAGTGGTCTTATTCTGAGAATAAGAAAGATGACATGTCTGACTCACATTTAATAGGTTGTCTGTTATAAACACACTCCACGTGTTTATAAAAGATTCGGTATGAATATTTTCACCTTAATATAATCCCTCACGAGACAGATAGCCACAGCTGAGCGAGACGTGTTTAGTTGAACCTCATCCAGGAATAACAGGACTGAGGATGATGAATGATTTCCATTTATCTAGGACACAGTTTTTAAACCTATACATATTCTCTTTGTGTGTCTCTTTCAGCCCTATAGACTGCATGTGAATCTCTCTCACACACAGACACGGATGCTCGAACACACGCGATAGCTGTTGAGCTGTTCCACTTGAAATCTGTCTCACTGTCGCTTCAGCTCACTTTACGGTGGGCTGTTAATTTGGGTCCTAGACTGGGAGTTGACGTCACCGAAGCTGGGGCTGGCACAATATACCCAGCTGAGGTCAGGTGCGCATGTAAAATCCATGCCAAGGAATGATTAATTGCGGAGTGGCACAATGAAAAAAAAAAAAAAAAATCCTCAATACAAGCCCAGCATTTGGAACAATGATTTCAGCTGTAATACTGCTGTGTTGGTTATTTTTGGAGCTTTTTTTTTTTTTTTTTTTTTTTTTTCATTTTAAACTACACACCAAATGTGAATGAATTGTGCACGTTTAGATTATTAAATGTACAGTAAAAACTGCCAGCTGTGGCTGCTCGAACTGCATTATATGTCATTGTATTTTGCATTTCTGCATATATCATTAAATAATATCATAGTATGGCTATTTTTTTGATGTATTAAAATCAGTTTCCACAACGAACATAACAAAAATAATTGTGATTTTAACGGTAAAAGACTGGTTAACAGAAAGTTTTCGTATACTATATACGGTAAATAACTGTGATATAGGCTAATTTTACTGTAAAATACCATTAAATTTACAGTTTTTGAAAGTGAAAAAGAACAACTCATTGTATAAATTGCAGCGAAAAAACGTAAATTGACATTCCCACAATTCCCTCTGTGAGACTTCACATTTTATGTAGTTTTGTTGAAATAACTATGGTTCCTCATAGTTTTCTTGTTTTGCTTTTTTATATAATCAGTTATGTACATTAGGGTTTTATGTTATATCTAATGTTGTTAAATTAATGTTTACTGCATTTTTTTTAATTTCATGTGTGATGGTGTTTAATGTTTGTGTGAATGACACTGTGCAGCTTCTTTATGTAAGTATTTTCCACTATTTTCGATGAGCTTTGATTGATCATGTGACTCATCGCAGCTGCATTTATTTTTGGTATATTACAATACAAAACAGATATATATATTAGAAAAGTTTGGTAGAGCATCATTTCATCAGATAATAAAATACGGTTTATTACTGTAAATTTTAAGTTAAGTCTGTAAAACCATTACTGTTCCTACCGTATTTTTAACGGTAAAGTTCTGGCAACCATAGCTGCCATTTTTTTACAGTAAAAATTGCGGGTTTTTTTTTTTTTTTTTTACAGTGCACATAGGCTACTACACCATGGTTTCCAACATCCATTGAACCTTTCCATTAAACAAATGCTAAGGGAGCCTACTTTAGATTATTCAAATGTTCGACACAAGTAAAACAGTGTATATTTTAACTGGCACTGAAAGGTCCTGGTAATAACCCAAAATGGTTCACTAATAAATAAATAAATAAATAAATAAAAACACCTTTTTTGAACCTTCATTTGTCCAGTGCCAAAACATCTTTACCAACAGTCCTTTTACCAACACATTTTTAGAATAAAAAACCTTGCAATTTAAATATAAAATTCTCCATACAACGATGTGGCAATGCATTACTTAAATACAGTTAAATTTTACAGTCTTTAATTACTAACACTTTTAGAATGTTCTGCATTGAAATGTTCACTTTGGGAATTTTTAAAGAGGAAATATCAACAGTGTGCACTTGAGATGCAACACACACGCATGAGAATTAAAACTTAAAAAGCATTGCGATTCTATCTCGCTTTCGCTTTCGCTCTCTTTCTCTCTCTTGACTCTAGGACCCAGGAGAATAACTATAGCAGGACAGTTTGTTTTTTGAGTGATGAAAAGAACCGGCTCGTTTCTCCACGCAGAAGTCTAAGGGACTGTTAAAGTCACCTGGTCTGGATAGTCATCACGGAGCCAAAGACAGAAAAATTCACTCACAATCCACTCGAGGAAGATCTTCTCCCTTTTTTTCTTCCCTCCATCCCTCCATCCCTCCCTCCATCCCTCCCTCTCTCTCTCTCTCTCTCTCTCTCCTCAGACTCGCTCTCCCAGACACAGAGTCCGTACTCAGAGCACCGGGACTCGGCTGGAGGAGCGCGTTTGGACACGGGAGGTTTCTGGAGATCACCAAGTAGGGCAGCAGCGGAGTGCGCCCTGTCCAATCAAACGATCATTCAGCCAATCAGTCAACCAACCAATCAATCAATCAATCAATCAATCAATCAATCAGTCGGCTCACACCAGGGAGCTGACAGCCTCCTTCTCATCCGCCTGCTCGGATCGAACCGATATCCTCGATATATACCGCAAAAGGATGATTTGATATACTGATCAACCGGGGTTGCTGCAAACGTGCCAGTCTCGCGCTCAACGCTCTCAATGACAACACGCTCTCTTACTGACGGAAACACTTTTGCCTTCGGAGAGGAAAACGGAGAGCGACACGCAAGTCTGTTTATGTCACGTTACTGCTGTTGGGACACTCTGACTGACTAGTTAGCTATTGAATAGTTGAGGCTGTCGCTGGAGTCGTGATCAGCGGGAATGAGACTGAGGGAATCCGCCGCGGCTCGGAGAACTGGGCTGGCTTTCGCTGGGGAACTACAAGGCTAGATATACAACTTTTGTGCTATACTTTATCTTTCGATATGGAGCGTTCGGCATCGCTGGACATCGAGGCACTGAAGGTGAGTTGCTGATGTGACGTGTTGCTGCTGTTTGCAGCGTGTAGTGTGTGTTTGGGGCTCAGTGCGGTGCTGGGTTTTGTGCGTGGGGTGCATTTCAATAACCCTCGTTCAAGTTGCGGCCATTAAAGGCATAGGTGCCGATGTCTGGGGCTGCTTCTGAAGCATAGCGATCATATGTCATTTCACAGATAGTTCGGATATTTAGCTAAATCTTATATGCACTATGGGTTTCAGCAAAAACGAGTCTTTCCCCCGTTCAACCCCTCCCTCGATATCCTTCCCACTCCAGGCATTTCCATCGCGTGCATCCTCATTTATCCATATGCAGTGGTATTTTTGAAAACAACTTTTTAACTCGCGAGGATTCTTATCGTATTGCTCAATTGCTCAATTCAATGCTTATGTTCATGCGTTTTTCACAAAAGGGGGGGAAAAAAGAGTCCCGGTGAGGGAGTGTGTGTTTCAGCACCTCTGGCACTGGACAGCTCCACAGATCACACTGGGGAACAGCTGGATGGGAGATTTGTGTGGCCGGGTTTGACGGCACTGCACTGTAAAATGGTACATTTAGGGTAGCAACTGTGGTTGCCAGAAGCTTACCAAATGACATTACGGCGATATTGTTACAAACATGATAGGTGGATATTTTACATTGCCTTTTTAACCTATTTGAGCTATGAAAGTCTATTTGTTTCTGTAAGGTGTTCTCGTCGGAACACATGTAGCTCAATGGAAGTTGGTCTCTCTCTTGCAACTGTGGTCAATAACTTATACAGAACACAAAAAACTATCAGGATAATGCGAATGACACTATGCGACAACAATTCAGTTAATAACCGATAAAAATAATAATAATAAAATGAACATTTTAAATTAAATATAAACAAATGTGATGGTTTGTCAGGGTTGTCTCCATCAATGAAAATATAATTACAGTAAACCTGTATTTATAAAAAAACAAAATTTAGTTTATGTTATACTCTTCAAGAATGGATATTGCCTTGTATGTGTTTTTATAAGGTAATTTTAAGATCATTAATACGTTTCGCTTGTAAAAATATTTAAAACTGTTTACAGTAAAATAACATGTTTAGCCTAGAAAATGTCATTTTACCAAATGCAAAGCTGGAAATGCAAACAGGTTTTTACTGTAGAAATCTTATACACTTCCATTAAAACATGTCTTGTTGTTGTTTACAGTGAATGGTGATCTTAGTGTTATCTTACAGTATCTCTCGCTCTCTCTCTCTCTCTCTGTCTGTCTGGAAAGGAGAGGGGAAGAGATTGCCAACATGTACTGAATCTGGCAAGTGTGTTTACATTCGATTGGCATCTGTTGCCGGGAGATTTGCTTCCCTCCAATTCTCTTGATTTCTGTATTGTATTCGGTTTGATCTTTGTGATTTCAAAGGATCGATGTTTAAACCAGGCAAATGTCTTTATTCATTAAATGAGCGGTTCTCAAAAGCACTATTCCTACACTCAAGCCTCACATAAATGTTCTTATATCAAGACTATGATCCAGTGTTATGTGCCTTTACTTTTAAGTTAATTTAGAACTATACCGCAGGGAAACACTATTATAAAAGGGAAATATGCAGAGCACAGCTCACACCAGAGCAATTGCTCGACTAGGTTCAGTACAGTATAGCTGTCAATTTATCAGGGTTATTTTTTTTTACTATTATTTTAGGATGGATTTTTTAATGGAAATTATTTTTGAGCAGCATTTATGATGTGTTGCATCTATTGAATCAGCATTTTGTGAATTGCGTTTAAGGGCTTCGTATAACAGAGACTCTTCTGTAGAGCGTCACACTTACGTTATTGTTCATGTAATTATTTCTAATTAATTAAGCAGGGTGCTTCTAATGAACAACATGTACTTGATATGTAATTGGTTTGTGGAGCTGTTTGTAATTGCACATTCATCTTGTTATTACATTTCTAATGAATTATGATAACGTGTAAACATATTATATGAACTTTGAAGCATCACCATGGCCCTTTTCATTAGACAACAGGACAAGAGGAGTCATTAAAAACAGTGGTGATGAGGCAAACAGTATTCTGTCCTTAACTGGGTTGTTCAGCGATACAGTTTTAATTAAACTGGCATCTCTGGTTCGCCTCTTATCTGGAGGCATATGTGTCCCATGAATTCAGACGCTGATGAAATGCCTTTCTTAATCTCTAGGAGTGTCATTTCAATTTACTGCCAATCCTTTACCACCTCTGAGAAAGTTCCTTCAGAGGGACTGAAAAAAAAATGTTTGGGTTGGTCCGCAAACTTGGATGAGATTTAAAACACAAGTAATAAATACATTAATAAGTGTGCAGAACTTGACTTTATAAGTTTTAAAGGTGTAGGCCAACCAAAAACGACCCTTTCTTTAGAGATGATATTTTTTTTTTTTTTTTTTTTTTTTAGTTATACAATGAAATTCAGTTGGGTTTTGGGGTTGAGTTTTTAGAGCTTGTTTTGGACCCCATTGACTTGTTGTAGGGTTAAAAAAATCGAAAAAACAAAAATGGACCATCATTGAACTTACTTAAACTGAACTATAATGATATTTTCTTCAAGAAACAAACTTTGTTGCATCGTTTTCCTGTTATCTTTGCTTTGGAAATCTGTATATATTTTTACATATAAATAAATAAAGGTGACTTGACTTGACTTCAACTCTGCTTTGAACTGTCAGATACAATGAAATCAGTTTTTTTTTCTCTTTTTCCCTAACCCTAACTTTTGGTCATCTTATTTGTGCATTACAAAACATGCACTGATTTTTCATTAAAAACCACTCAAATGTAGAGGCCGAGTCATTCTTATTTGGAAACCAAAAAAAGGACAGTTTGCTTTGGTCTACAATGTCAGCACTCAGCACGCATGCTGATCCTGGACCAGCCAGTAAAAGCTGCGGTGAGCAACAGACCCATTCAATAGCACTAATAGCATCACAAATGGCCGTAATCCATCTTCGCTTAGGTTTGCTGTGCTGGTCCGAGTTTGAGTGGCAGTTGAAGGCCCCATCGGTGTCCTGATCCTTTCACTAGAGCTTCGAGTATCAAGGTCCTTGCCAAGCTTTCGTTCCCATCGCCCCCCGTCCCTCCCGTCCCTCCCACCTCCATCCATTTTACACTTAATTAACTCTGCCAAGTGGGAAAGGGCAGTCCGATTACAACACAACTCTCAGTAACTGCAGTATCAAATAATTAATACATATTAAAGCTGAAGGATGAGAGGAATAAAAGAGTTGTGTTGAACATTTCCCCTAGAGTGTGTAGCAGGAAAGAAAGGAGGCACTTCAATGTATCATCTGAACAGGTGATGTTAAGAAAAGGTTAACATCATCACCAAGGAAGAAAACGCAGTGCTGTTTCACTGGTCGGGTTGTTCAAAACGTGAACGGCTAGAGATTCATGGTTCGGATGTTAAAGCCATTCAAATCTGTTGTTTTTCAAAGTAATTTCGATTTAGCATGTTTCCTGGTATTACAAAGGAGAAAATGAACTCAGCTTTAATTGTGGTTTAATTTACACCACAAATCACTGACCTTAATCTATTACTGCACACATTAATTACAACTGCAATATCAGAATAGCTCTGCTAATTGCAAGCATTGTTTTACCATTAGGAGGCCATGGTAACCAAATCACGTTTGGCGGAGTGGATTGTTTGTTTGAGAAAGATATCTATGCATAATGTGTAAGCATCCATGATTTTAAACCCAACTTGTGTCTAAGACTTGAAATCCATCCTGTATTTTGTGCAAGTTTCTGTTGTATCTGATTGGATGGTTTTACAGACTGACCCTCTCAACAATACACCCAATTACCATTGTGAGAAACAGCGGCTTTAGCAAGTTTACCCATTTAGTTTAAAGAGCCCCTATCATGGATTTTTGAAAATGACTGTTCATATGGTGTGGAATATAGCTCTAAGGGAATGAAAACATCCTGCAAAGATTTATATCTGAAAGTGCACCATATATAAAGTTTTATTGCAGATTTCAAACATGAGAAAAGTCATCATGTTACATAAAAAAAGACAGTGAAGGGGATAGGAGAGGAACAGTTCTGTTGCAATGATCTCGCACTGAGAGGCTTCAGCTGGGCAGTTACAAGATAATAGCAGCTTTGAATGGTCACGGAAAAGGCTGGGAAGTGAGAGGGAAGAGAAAGAGAGAGAAATGCCCACTCTGGGTTCTAGGCTGATGGGCCACATCATGAGCCAAATGAAGCGAGTGGCAAGGTGAGATGGGCCATACGCCTGCCGTTAAAAAAACAGCAGCATTACAGAGTGACAGAAGATACCAGGGGCTAAACTTTTCTTTCCATCCCTCCATCGCTGTCATTTATTTGAAACTTCAATTCAATTATATTTCTCATTCTCTTACCTCTAACTCGCCATCTCTCCACCTCTCGCTTTCTCAGCTTTGAAACTCTGTGACCCCTCCTCATCTGTCTTGCTCTGCTTTTTTGACTCTACATCTGCTTTGACCCCTTTGGAGAGCATACACTATTACCATTGGTCTTCGGTCATTTCTACTTCAAATAATTAACTAAGGGAATGACAAAGATACGTTTGGAAATGCAGGGTGCCAATGCAATTAACCTGAACATTCAGAAAGAAAATTCTCTCGGCTCTTCTTTGGTTTCTCCTCGCTTAATAGACCATTCATACGTTGTACTTTTCAAAATATTAAATGGATCTATCAGTCGAGTCACAGAGCTTATATTATGTTTGGATTTTTTTTTTTTTTTTTTGTTTCCATAAAAGTAGAGACAATTGTTTATTGAAACTGTTTAACATTATATTTAAAAGCCAAAAGTCTTAATGTTTAATTTGACCTAATAAAATGAAAATAATTAGATTTCTGCTTTTTTGTTCATCATTTATCATTAACATCAATTACAGAACACAAACTTCTACCAACGTTATATATATATATATATATTAGGGCTGTCAAACGATTAATCGTGATTAATCGCTTCCA